GTTTAGCTTGAAATAGAAGTGTTGTGGTGTGATACAGACAATGTGTTCTAACAGAATATTATTCTCACACATCAATACTGCGTTAGCAACAGAATACGATATATGCATTTGAACATTCTATTTCCTGTCGTGTAATCTAAACCTTGGCTTCCATGTCTTGCTTTCTGCTGCTACAGTGAGACTGAATGAAACTCGTCATATTCTGTTTTCGTTCAAATGAGAGGAAGAACCTAGTGAAGAAGAGGACGATATATTCCAGACATTTAGGTGGTTGAAAATATTTCACAGGAAGATTTAGTATTGTCGATTTGCACTTGTATCCATACAAAAGCTTTCTTTATCCGCTTACATTCCTTTATAATACAAAATTACGTCGTGTTTATTACTAAAAGTATCTTGTCTAGCATTTGGGATATACAGGATGCATGTCGCTATTGTAACTATTAATTTTGAGACTATTTCGAATAAGGAAAATACAAAGTCCGAGGACTTAGGTGCTTTCCTGCACAAGGAGTTAATTTGAACATTAATACAAACCAAATGTATTAAGCTGGCTAAGAACAGAATGAGCCAGGTAACAATTTGTGTGACAGACTGACACCAAAATGAAGACATTCAGCAACAGTGGGGTTTATCCAATTATACTGTAGGTTATTCTTTTTGTCAGTTACTTCCTGAAGGTTGATGAGAAAGATGATTATTTCAGTTTGCGTTGTTTGACTTCACTGAACCTCAAAAATCTAGATACTCATTTTCAGTTGTCTATTTCTGAGTAAAACAAATTAGCAGTCAACTTCTTAATCTGAGAAATGCAAACATGAACAAATCGACTCTTTGATGAGTATCTTTGCTCAAAACGAAGCAATCAGCAGTAACAGCTACTCACTATGATAATACATATATATACTCTATTGATTTCTGTGTAAGCGTAATTTGGAAGAAAGACTGAAGTTGAGAATATTTAAGGTTACAGGATTTCATCATCAACTGACATTTATTTATTTAAACGCATAAAAACTTGGTACAATATGGCACCAAGAAGGATGCGCCACACAATAATAAAACAACATAGATCAAAACAAAAAAAGAGAAAAAGAATATATATATATATAAGTAGAGAACGGATAAGGAACTTCATCTGGAAGGAAAACAGTCACGCTTAACAAGTTCAAACAGTATTCGTTAACTATCATCGAAAAGGGAAGAAAGAAGGAAATCACAACACGTGTAATAGCACGCGATAAGTTTCATTGATTGTTTGTTGCTTCATTCAATTCATTTTGAGGGCTGAGATACTGCCCAGGCGCCCAGACAGAAGCAGGTGGTTTTATTAAGGAACCACCCCCGCCCCGAGCCTTTGACTTGGAGTCTAATCCGCAAGGCAGCGGAGCAGTGTCAGGAGCTGCATTCCCATGGTTCCCGGTGACCCATATGGGTTCATATGCCATTTGATCCGATTGGATACTGGAACCCATGGTAACCGCTTTTAGTTTAACCGCTATCCAAACAACCTTCCTGACATGGTAGGACCTGCAGGGACATGAGTCCCAGTCAGTTTAGCATGTTGGGTTATTATGGTATTGAAGCCCGACCACCACGACAAGGTAGCAGTTATCGGCAGGGATGAGCTGACATTAGTTAGAGAACCATTGGAAATCCTGGGAGTACTAACTCACTAACGTCAGCTCATGATGAAATCCTGTAACTAATCAAATCCCTTCAAACCAACACTTGGATATCAATGAGATGCTCACTAGCGACTTGCCCTATTCAGGTAGGTAGTTGCCTGGGGGTTCTAGTGACAAGTCGCAGCAGATCGGGTGCGAGGACAAATACTCGCCGAATACATTGGCTAGCTGTCGTGCTATGTCGTAAATTGGCAGAAGTTAGAATTCATAGGCTAATTAGATCGGGTCCCAGTGGCTTAATGGTATACGAGCTCGCCTTGTAATCAGAAGGTCTTGGGTTCGAATCCCGATGGGTGCGTACTGCTGAGGAGTCCCAAACTAGGATGAAACACTTGTCCAGTACCCCCAGGTTTTCCAATGGTTCTCTAACTAATGTTAACTCATGATGAAATCCTGTAACCAATCAAATCCCACCAAACCAACACTTGAATATTTAGGGTTAATTACACAGTCAAATACCATAATTCTCTTTTTCGCATATACACTCTTTGAATATGCGTTCAAAATCATCTCAGTGTATTATAAGACTGGATTGGTTAGGAATTATTCCCTTTTTTTAAAATTATAATTAATATATGTAGGAGGGTAAAAATCTTACAACTGAACAGAACAAATCACACACACTGAATATACGAATTACTTTCTGTAGAGTAAGTAGTTTGCATTCCTTTAATAGTTTGTTTTTAGGCAAAGCATTAGATAGTAACTTCAATTGGCTGAAACAAGAGAGTTTTTTTCAAACTTCGAAGATATAGACATGTGCTAGACTGAAAGGTCATTCGAACAAAAACTAACATTCCGCATTTACTAGAATTATCGTAAACTATTTAAACACAATATGAATAAACACACACATGTTCTAGGCTGTTTAGCAGTTTATTCCTTAGTATACAATCTTGTCTTAAATTTCAGATAGATTTTCTAATGTCTAAATCATATTAAACACATAAATGTAAACGGGCGATTAAGTACATACTACTCTCAGCCTATTACCATTAATCAAGGGTGGTGATTTACTATTTTTAGCGATGACACTTTGTTTTAAAAATACAATTGTGGTGAGAGCAGGCTGCTAGCCGATTGGTTGGCACTAATCTACGTTAAGGTCTAGGTCACTAATATGGGCCGTGAACAAGGCTGAGTCAACAACCAATCACAGCAAAGTTAACGTGGCAAAATATGATTCGCAGATAGAGAACTCTGTTTGTCAAGGAATCCCGAAACAACCAATCAGAAGCCTGCGTTTGTCTACCTAAACAACCAATCAGATGACTGCGCTTGTCTATAATAATGTTGTCTGAAATATGTATAAATACGTGTTGATTTTCATAATAAAACGATCTGTTGCCTGGCCCTTGTCTTCTGTTGTTACATTTGGTGTCGCTGCCTACCGACAAATGGAAAGCCTATGCCCTGCTGTTTTTGATGGAGACATATGGATCTTCGGGCAGGACTTCAAGCCTTCTGCGCAGTTGAGTGGCGTTCAAGATCTGCCAGCGATGGAGCTGCTACTTGGGACGCTGCTGGGAGGTCGGGTGAAAGCAGCATATGAAAGTGTGAGCCGAAGTATGGACGAATGTTCGACAGGGTCAGGCAAACAGTTTCCAAAGTGGGAAGGACCACATATGGTCACTTCGAGATGGGGTTACGCAGACACAGTCGCAATGGCGAACAATGAGAGGCGCGTGAACGTCAGCGAGCTCCAGAAATGGATACAGCGAGACAAGCCAACGATGACGCCTGCACCAAGTAGATCAAGCCGACATCAGTCGCACGTATTTGACGGGGGGACGAGTGTGGTGAGAGCAGGCTGCTAGCCGATTGGTTGGCACTAATCTACGTTAAGGTCTAGGTCACTAATATGGGCCGTGAACAAGGCTGAGTCAACAACCAATCACAGCAAAGTTAACGTGGCAAAATATGATTCGCAGATAGAGAACTCTGTTTGTCAAGGAATCCCGAAACAACCAATCAGAAGCCTGCGTTTGTCTACCTAAACAACCAATCAGATGACTGCGCTTGTCTATAATAATGTTGTCTGAAATATGTATAAATACGTGTTGATTTTCATAATAAAACGATCTGTTGCCTGGCCCTTGTCTTCTGTTGTTACACAATGAATTCTGATAGTTCAGATAAAATGCGATAACCTTGAGAAAATTATGTTTACATTAACTGTTATGTTCTGTGCAATTTACATATCACAAATGGTCAAAAGATAAATAACCCTTATTTGATTCTTTAACTGATTGAATAGTAATCACTGAACATTACGCAGAATGATCATTTATTGCTAACTTTCACTTTGTATAGAGAAATCAATTCTTTATTTGTACCATATTTGTATATTCAATGATAGATAGTATATATATAGGCCATTGAAATCCAATAGGAAACAGTGAAGTTCAACAATGACGTTTCCAGGAGTGCGAACGCTCCAATGACCTTGAACTCATGCTAGTCATTGGCTAACGGCACCTGTTATTATCATAGCTGAAATACCAACGCTATTCACCAGCTAAGCAGCAAATTTCACCAAGATCATGTTTTAAGTACTGTTTTGACAATGTGTTAATAGCTCGTTAGGATTACGGTGAGTATTGGGGTTAGGATTAGGATCAGCGTTATAAATAGCAAAGGGTTAGAATTACGGTTTGGACAAAGGTTACGATTAGGGTTAAGGTCAGGATTAAGGTTAGGGTTGCGATTAGGGATACATGTCACTTATTTTAAATTGTTTTATTATCCACCTTTTCCTGGTAAGTAATCGTCGATACTATTACTGGAAACCATAGTAATTCAACCGAGGGCTTTCAGGACTACTGGACAACAGGAAAAGAGAGATGAACGATTCACTAAAACAGCTCATCTTCAGTCACCTCTGTGAACACATGTACAGAAACTAGTCTAACTTAGCAACTGATAATCCTCATTATAAATAGGAGGTATTTCTAAATCATGTCAGAGAAAGATAACCTGTTTAATGTGTTTTCATGCATTTTCTAGTGAATATACGTCATTTTCTGTGCGGAAATACCTCATTTTTTTCACTGGTTAGCTGAAGGTCACCCATGCGTTCGCATTCCTTCGGAGGCTATTGTTGAACATTGCCTAAGAAAGAATTAGCGCATAAGTAGTTGTGATGCAACTGAAGGTCTTCCAATCGAATCATGACCTATTAAATTAGGCAAGTGATATTCAATATATGACGAAATGAGGCAACTCGAGATTTTACGCTATTTCACTATAGATCAGCGATGAATTCTAATTCCCTGAAACACTCAGTGAAAATCAAAAGTAAAAGGCATACAAAGAAATTTTATCTGCACTGTGTACAATAGAAGTAAGTAGCTAAACAGATTCAGTTTTAGCACGTTTCTTAGCTGGCGTGATGAAATGTTTACTGTCTGGTGACTCTTTGATATTAGAAAGTGGAAGGTTGTGAATATCTTCTGTCACATCTTTATTATTCGACTCAGTAAGACCATGCGACTGACAGGTGATAGTGTCGACAATTCTCCTCAAGCTATACAAATTTGAAGCTGTCAGTTCGAGCAGTCTGTTGACTTTTCTAAACCCATTAATCTCCATTAGTTCTTCACTTGTATAAGTATCTGTTAGAAACAGATAATAAGAAAAGAGGAAACTGATAAGCATAAAATCTAAAAAATATACATGTCAAACAATAATAAGCAACGACTAAAGAATGTAGTCTTCCATAAACAAAATTAAATATGCGATTAAACGGTAAAAAGACACTCCGTCTTGAAACTAAGTAATATTTTGTAGATCAAACTATCAACCAGGTTTAAAGTACAATTTTTGAGCAGTATTTCAATAGCTTAGTAAGCAAGTCCGTACATTCTCTATATTATTCTTAAAATAATGATAACAGCAAGTGTAAAGTTTCCATAAACACATGTAATTAAACATTATTATTATTGTTCCCTTGGGTTCCTAGTGGAACATAGGGCTTCAACTGCACGTCTCCACTTGCTTCTGTCTTCTGCCGTGCTTTTCATCTGCATCCATGTTAGTCCATACTGTTTCAACTCCCCATCACACGGTCTCCTCCATGTCACCCTTGCATTGACTTCCCACTCGCCGCTTCCCTTTCAGGTTTCACTCGAGCAATGGCCTGACGGGCGATGTCACCTAGCGGTCTCCTCAGCGAGTGTCCAATCCATCTCCACTTTCTCTTGCATATTTGTTGGTTGGCGATTGGTTCTTGTTTTGTTTGTTCCCATAGTTTCTTGTTGGTGATTCTTTCCGGTCCGGCCATCTCATCTTCAGTATAGAGCGAAGATAGTTGTTGGTTGATAAAGGTCTGCAACAGGCTGTTGGAAATATTCTTTGTGACCCGCCAAGTTTCTGATCCGTATAGAAGAAATGACTCGATGTTTGTATTGAAAATCCGACCGAATTTTGTTGTTGATGCTGAGTGACGAAAATTTCCAGATTGATTTCAGGTTGATGAATGTTTCTCGCCCCCCTCCCCGATTCTCGCTCGATTTGACATCCTCGTCCGTTACGACTGGCATTAGTTGAGACAATGCTCCCTAGATAAGTGAATGAAGTAACCTCTTTTAAATCCCTCCCGTTGATGGTGACTGACGCTGGACGTTGCTGTTGTTGTTGGTTGGTTATTTTCATAACCTCCGTCTTGTCTATGTTCACTTGGAGTCCTGTTTTTGCTGCTTCTTCAACCAGTTTGTCTGTTTTCGCTTATAAGTCTTCGATTTTGTGTGACATCAAACATAAACATGATTTATACTAAGTACAAGTATTTTGACATTCGCAGTACACATGAATTACTTCTTGCGAAGACTGTCACTTTGTCTAGAGTCTGTACTAAATTTTTAATCATCTTAAAATGTCATCAGGTTTGTGATATGGAACATTTTAAATAACTGAAGACGAATGACTGAGAGATAAAAGGACACGTTGATCTTGACAGAAGCTGTCTTGATTAGGTTTTTATACCGACTGATCTAAGGCTACTTCATGCATGCGCAGATGATACGGATACAAAGTGTCACATGCCAATATTGGTGAAACCAATGGTAACAAGGCAAATTTGACACTTAGTACGGCTAATAAACTGCAAAATTAGTAGACCTTGGTTTTCTCCCCGTCCAGCACGACATTCTATATGGAGAGGGATATGTCTCCAGCATAATCGAAATATGCTTTGATTTATGTCAAGTTATATCTATTGAAAGTGTGTCGGTGGCATAGCAGTTAGGATGCTAGCCGACTATGCACATGGTGCGGGGTTCGATCCCCGGCCGACGAGGCACTCCTTTACCTCGCCAAGCCACAAATTATGCTGGTAAAGAGGAAAGGTTGGGCATGAGGCTAGTAACCCCATCCTGTGAAATAAAGACTGCTACAGAGACTTCAAGCCACTAGCTTGAAGCCCTATGTTCCACTGGGGATCGTGAAGGAAAAAAAGAAAAGAAATATCCACTGAAAAACATCTGTTTACAAACTTTGGGGGGTTTTAATAACCTGCAATCTATTGCATAAGACCCCTACAGACATTAAATTCCCTCTGAAATTCCATTTTTTAATCTATGTAGATTTCCCAGACATGCAAACTATTTGCCAACTAACGTTCAGAAACTAACAAACTTAATATCAAAATATGGCGCATATAAACATAGAGAGGGAACAAAAGACAACATGAGTATTCTTGAAACGGGAGAGGTGGCTTGTTGGCTTCAGCATTCTGCTATCAGCCGACAAATCCTGGGTTCAAATCCCAGTAAGTTAACTTTAATCTGGCAGCTGGATGGTGTCATTAGACTCCACACAATAATTGTGTGGCTCACACATGACGTGTACTGCTGATAAGAATTATAAGTGGTGAATAAATTCGGATATAAATGTGTATCATCTGCAAGAATATCGAAAAGTGAAGAAAAGAAATGAACGATGCTTGTGAAACAACACGGAAAACGGGAAGAAAGACAACAGTAGCACAATACTAAAGATAAATGTAAATTGTGATTCTACTATATGGTAGACACATTTTGCCTATAACTTTATATCGAGTTGCTAATAAATAATTCTGTTACCAAATACTCATGTTTTCTGCCGTTACACACAACCTGAAACATAAAAGACCAATTCCAGGTAGGTTAATTCAAACATTAATAAAATGAAGGAGAACAGCGGTATTCTTAGGTCATTACTATCTAGGCTGTAAACACTATGAATATGTAATAACTTAATTTTTAAATATGTATTGAAAAATCCTTGTGTTAATGTGCTTATAAAAGTAGCTTCTTACAGAAATGTGATATATATATATATGATATTCATGTATTAGGACCTATTCGTCTGGTTTACAAGGCTTTAGCATATCCTCCAAACAAATTTCTGTAAGTATACTGATATCCAGTGATGAACCGTTAGGTAAGCAGTATGATCAATCATTACCGCACCGTGTGCTACTGAAAATGACTTGTAAGTAGTATACTGGCGAATGCTCAAAATCTTGGATGGCAGAAAGACGGACGAAGTTCCAGAGATGAAATGCAAGTGTGAGATGAAGACGAAAGAAACAGCATATTTCTTCTTTGCAAATTTAAAATTCAGTGTAATGTTTTCACGTTTCACCATGAGTGTACGTCACTTCGTTAAACAGACAATCCCAATTACTAAATACCAGCGTTCTGCAGTTTCATCGTACTTAGGATACTGGAGAAACAAATGGCATACAAACAGTTTTCAGCTGCAAGTTCTGTTCGAATGTAGAAGTTTTGTTTATGTGTCATTTAAAGGCAAAGCATAATCCTAGTATCAGTATGGCCATCCAGACACTATCATAGTCCTCATAAAATCATACGTATACTGGTAACGGCTTTATAACTCTTATTGACTACATAATTTCCATTATCTTAGGAATATGATGAATTAACACCAAATTAGTTTAGCGCTTTATTTTTTGATGTAGTTTTTCTTTTGTATTTTTATGGTGCCTATTTTTGTGTGACTTACTAGTTTCAACAAAAGTGCAGCAGTTCAACTTGCCACACAAAGGAATACAAAAGGGAAGAAAGAGAATCAGAAGATAACAAGCAGAAATATGAGGAGGTGTGGTGGGAAAGAACAGCAACATGGGAAAATAAATAGGGTTTAATAGATATGGCAGATCATAAAGAGTGAATGCATCTGAGCCACTGAGAACGATTTCAATCCATATCATCAATTGTCTCCAACTATTGGTTTTTACTATCCCGAAGACACCAACCACGAAGTTCACACTTTCCTGCATGGCTCAAAACAACTGTCACACTTAATGTGCCGATGGCAACTTTTGGTTTGACCACCCTTAAACTTTTTCCAACTCAATCCAATGTCGGCTAACACTGCTCGTCGAGGAAGGCGATGACTAGGCATGAGCAACACGTGTACTAGTCATCCCTCAACCCATGTAGCTTCACAACCCCGTTGACTGACTTACCCTTCACACCTAACACTAAGCCTAACCTCAATATTGCTCACCCTATTATACCACCTAACACGGGGGATAGTATGCAGGGATCTATGATCGAAGATAGCTAGCCTTTTGATGTCTTCCAATGTCAGTGGCCATGTTTCACAGTCACAAAGGAGGACAGAGCAAACTGTTAAGCAGTAGATACGTCCTTTGATAGATAGCTGGATTTCAGGTCTACCACGACCAGGGATCACCTAAGTCTGTTACATGTAATTCTTCTTCTCATCGGCCTTAACAGTCTTTTGCTGTTCCATAATTTATATCATTACACTGTAGTTTTGACAAATATTTTACTTACATTAATACTTCTTGCAATGTTGACACTTTAGTTTAAACAATTCAATGAATTTTTCTGGAACACTGAGAAGTTTCACCTTTAATGTAGACAAGACTTAATACACATTCAACATACCGAGTATATACTGACGATCAGTACTTCATTTACTGATGTTGAATGCATATTTCATTTACCCTAATGATACACTGAAAGCCGTAGTAAAAGTTTTACAATTCAAGTGCTTTCCAATTAGTAATATGTTAATCAGCAATAGTAAAAAGTTTCTGTACGGACAAAAAATGCCTGTGTTTACATGAATTCCAGTCTGAATGCACCAAAAATACATTTTATCCGTAAGATTATCTATCACAGTATACATTTGAAAAACGAGGTTAAATGATGGTATGCTAATTTAAATTTTAAAAAACCTAACCGGCGAGGTTGAGTCAGGATTTTTCTGGTAGGTGATTATTTTTTGTGATTGAATTACTTAGTTGACTAAGTGTTATTGTTGTTGTCAGAGCAAAGGTGAGTGAGTGCATACGTCTTTTATAGTTGACAAAGATGTTTCTAAACGTTAAACAATTAGGACCACTTCCTAAAGCTTAGTATCGATTGAAGCTAGGTCAAAATCAACAGATTATAATAGAACATAGCACAAAATGCATCCCGATAACAAAGCATCAAGCAAGTGTTAAGGTGATGAGTGACTAATTTGAGAACCAACAGGCTAGAATCCATTCGTATGAACATATTTCCCTTGTGGCCGATTCTAAGTATCCATCACTGTACCAAATAAAACAACCCACTGAGCAAAAACATATTTACTATGTAACTAGATCCTTGTAAACACGATATATATACATATATTACTCAGTCTTCAGAGATATCTTACTAGTACACTAAACAGTGCAAGTTAGGAAATTAAAAATACCCCTTTCGTATCCACCCGAAGATCTTGTCAGTAAACAGTTTGTTAAACCAAAGGTAAGTGGTTAATGAATTTGACCAGTTCACTTAATACCTTTACATCAAAACCAAGCGTGAATTGATTTTTAAGCGGCAGCCTTACACCTGAAAGATATACACCTTTACCTTAAGCATTATAAAAATGCTGCACTTATCAGAGTCTTAGATACATAACAATGAAAATTTTAAAAGTAACATTATCATGAGTTAAGCATATCGACCACCCACACCTAAAATATGGACTTACTCAGTATACAATGATATAATTCCAAGCACACTGCAGCAGCATCCTTCTTCCAGACGTTATTGTATATAAATCTGAAAATATATTCCAGCTGATGATTGTCTCTGCCTGCAACCGCTGCATTTAACGTGTCTCTTCTTATTAATTCACGTATGACAGCAAGTGACATGTTGAGACAATACCGAGGATCTGGAGGAGTTGTTTTCCTCGATCGTCGCATCCAAGACTGGCAAGTTAGAGCTAAAGTGAGAGCGCGTGAATGATTGAAACGTCTCAATAACGTGTCCACACGACTAGATGTATTTGTCAAAGTATGAGCATAAAACGATCGACTACTGAGAGATATTTCAGTTTGCTGTTATATGTGCAAATAAAAACAGTTAAAAAAATTGCAGATACTTGGACATTATCAATATATAGTGAGTTATCATGGTAAAGGCAACTAATTTGACATATTCGATGGACTTACCTTCTTCTTTAAGACTATACGCCTAACTGTGGCTGCTAACATGATAGCTCCACTGAACGTGGACAGTGTTCTGAGAACAAAGAATATCTGGAGCCTTTGCAGACCTGCTTTTAAGTATGACTGATGCACAACATGTGTCGAAAAAACCACGGCTAGGTGACCGATGAATGTGTCTTTTTTATGCGCGCCTTAATGAGGAACTGCAATCTCTCTCTGTTTTGTGAAGATCAAACGTGACCTCATTGAGTAATACAAATGCAGTCTTCTGCCTGAATTAAAATTGTTTTCTTGGCACTACATCCAATGAGGTTTGCATAAATAGATGCGATTGTTTAAGTTGTCGAATTTTTTTAGTGATCACAGTTATCAAAATTTGGTTTAGCGGATAGATTAAAATGAAAACTGGCGACGAAATCAGTCCACTGAACGTAAGTAAAACAAAATACCAAGTGCTTACCTGATGAACCAGTGGAACAACTGGTTTTGATACTTTGTCAACCTCATCAGTTGAAAACCAATCTTTAGGTGCACGACGTGAGCTAGTCACTGGAACTTCCGACCATTCATTCATTGTCATTAGCATAAAACGATCTTTTTTCTTGGGCTTCGAAAACTCAGATAACAAACTTATATAGGGTTCTTCTGTGTCACTGGGAACAGTTTCATTCTGTTTCTGAGAGAACGATGAGTTTAGTTTTCGATCATAGTGTTTAATTTTAACGAAACCACGTTCTCCTCCTATCACAATAGTTTCACATTTTGGCTAAAATATTAAGAACCAGAAGTAGGAATGTGAGTAAATCGTTGAACTACGACAAATCTCATTTAAATGTCAATCATAGGAGGTAAACCTGAAAATATCCAGGGAGTAAAGCAAAACAAATGATGTATCATATCAAACACTATGCACCTACTAGTTCATCAGCTTCGCATAGCCTAAATGCTAACCATAAGGGTGAGGAATAAAAGAGTAAGAAGGTATTTATATACTGTTATGTTGAATACAACTCTGTGTAGTAAAATTAATTACTTGATTAATCAAGTCTTAATGAATCATATTAACTCCTGTTGCATTACTCAGAAATCAGTAAGACACTAACGTTTAAAAATACCACTTTTGTGATTCTGGAGCTGTTGTTTATATATATATATATATATATATATATATATATATATATATGAAGTAAATCCTTATTTTGTGGAAATAATTCAAATTATTCGCAATGAGTTCAGAAAACAATAAGTGAATCTCTCCTAAGACATCCCTTTGTAAGACGGTGAATTAAATAAAAGCAAAAGCAGTATACACTCAGCTTAAACGAAATAATAAAATTAGGTTTGGTATACCGTTGGCAGTAGGCATTATCAAGACTGAAATGTTACACAACAAACACATGCCAGTCAATATATTTTGCAGGGACTCACCCCTACTAATGATGGTATCACCACAATCGATATGTAGGATAAGTTCCCTAACCTTGACACTGATTGGGACGCCTAGGACTGTAATTCAAAGTAGGAAAAGCATGAGGGCGGTAACTCAGAATAAATGAAAGACAATAATAAAGACATGATAACAGTAGAAGATATTCACGTTGCATATCATTTTGTATTCCCTGTACTAAAGGTCACAGTTGATTTAATAAATTATAGGACTGGGCAAAATAAAGTAGGTTGAGAAGCTTTTAAGCTCGACGCCAAGTGTGTGGCCCCGTGACAATTTAGGATGCTTAGATGACTGTATGCGTCCTAACATTCATCACTAAGTAATAATTCATATAAAACGTTCGACAAGGGGAAGTCACATTTTTATGAACCGAAGAGCCAAGCTCACAACAGGTTTAATATATTAAAACTTTATCTTTTCTTCAGTATTTATCGGTATCAACTAACTTCATTTTACAGACTAAGCGGAATATTGACGATGTACCAGTTACATTAATAATAATGGACAGCAATAGTAACTTACTGTAACTCCAACAGCCGTCAAAGGAGTGGAACACTGAAGTTGATGGAGCTCCTTACCATTCTGTAGATCTGTAAACTTTACCAGCTTGTCTAGTGAAACGGAAAAAAGGACTTCTTCATCAGTGACTGGATGGTGCTCAATAAACATGCCGGTGATAACTTTATAATGAAGATGAAGACTCTGACTTTCTCCATAATTTAGAAACTTTTTGGCAGAGAAGTCCCAAGACTGTACAACAGAACCAGCAGCGATCGCCAAAATCTTGTCTGTTTTGTTAAGTGAGAGAGCCGAAACAGCAACCGGAACAGTTATTTTACTGACAGGCTTTGGCTGGTTGAAAAAAACACAAATTAAACAACAACAGAGCACTTCCGGATGACGAAATAGAGCACTTTTACAAAACCATATGAGTTCGATTTCTGTAAGCTGATGAATTTTTCCAACTGGCTTAACATTGGGGCGATATTTGAGCCCATGTTCGACTATCTCACATATGAACACCTATGAAGTTAGCTACAGTTACATTAATGGTCTACACTACGACCTACACTACTAGAATGAGTACATAAAAGCTGCTTAAGACGACAAATATGATTTGTACATTCGACAGAAAACAGCTGGTCACTGACTGAAGAAACCAGCTTAGATACGCTTCATTATTGATATAAGCATAAAAATTAGGCACTGTGATAGGCTATTATTCCACGATGTATAAAAATTTTATTGTGATAGAGTCACAGTGTATTACGGTAATATTTACTAATGACGTTCCGAGCTAAATTTATTGCTCATAATCATATCACGGTACTAACACAACTTGCTCGTATATACATATATATATATATATATATATATATATATATATATATATATAGATTAGACATAAGAATTAAATTAATAAAAGTTCAATAGATATGCGTGAAACAGAAAGGAAGATATACATTTGAAAGTAATGTTTTTGTCAATAGAATATAATACGATGGGAAATATCCATAATAGGGCAACAGTAAAGAATAGACACCAAGGCAAAATAACCTTGACTCAACTAAGAATATGGCTCGGCACTACACATGAATGTTGTTCATAATCTTCGTTGCAAGTTTCACCCAAATGTTTTTATACCAATAATACAACGACTAATTTTCCTAGGCACTACCATTCATACACTCGAGTGGAAAGGTTATTCGCAACTATCATCAGTCGACTATATTTATCATAGAGTCAGTCATACATCTAAATTAGTAAGTCTTGTAATTGCAACTCATACAAATTCTATTAAAGGATTCTGGGTCCATCTAAAATCAGTGTTGTAATGTCTGTCTGTTTTCGACATAGAATTTTGCACAAATGTGCGGAAGTTCAAGTCGCCACATTCCGTGTAGCACGCGAAGTAAGAGAAGAAAGTACAAGAAAAGCATAATAGAAACAGTGAGCAGAGGTGTGAGACAAAGGAGTAATAAAGAAATACAAAACAGTTTCATTGAAGATCATAAGTCACAGGGAGTGGATGCATCTGCGCCACTGAGAACGGTTTTGAGCCATGTCACCAATTGTTTCCACTATGTCTGAGCGTTTAGCCTTTCGCACCAAACTAGACAGCTTTTGGTAGAACTCATCCTTCGTTTCATCTGAACTGCAGTCAGTGGGGGCGTAGGCGGAGATTACGAAAAGGCATCGGCGAGTAGTGCAGTCCTTCCTCCTTCTTACTGATCCGTTCAGGCGGACAGCACACATTCGGCTATCTACCGGGATCCAGTCAAGCAATGTCTTTTCTGCCCTAGTACTCAAAGCTATCCCTACGCCAGCTAATCCTCGTGAACTAGCTGTGGCATCTCCTGACACCCTCTAGGTGAATTTTGCAGATTCAACCTGTTGGCCAGGTGGGGTTAGGTGAATAACCACACTTGGGTCTTGTATGCGTGTTTCTGAAACACAACATACATCAATGGCTCGGGATGCCAGGGTCTTGGCTAGTGATGCTTGTTGTCCTATTTGGCAAAGTGTCCTAACATTAAGAGCTCCTATATGAAATTGGTGGCGCGGCTTTAAGAGGCTGTCGGTGGTGGTTTTTTGGCTTCCATCGTTTTTAGTGGATGCAGAGTGGAGAGGAAGTGGAGAGCTATCAAGTCGAGGAGTTGCATCAGTGGAAGGAAGGCAAGATGATAGAGATGAAGATGAAGACAAAGATGAGTGAGTAATAGAGAGGTTTCGTGTGCATTTCGGATTGTGAGGGCGATTGTTACTTCCCGGCTGCCCACACCGTGGAAGTTGGTTGCGTGACCGCAGAGCCCAGGGGACAACTGCTTGAGGCCGGTCACACGCGGCCTGTTTTTGTTCGTTTTTTTTTGTTTGGTGTGTCTCAGTAGCAGATTTATCACTCCTGCCCTGTGACACGGCAGCAGGAAGCGCGGTCGTTGTTAATCCGGGCCATGGCCGATCCGGCATGAAATTTTGCGATTTTGTATTGGACATGATGTTGGATTGGGTAGCTGCTTTTTGTTTAACCGCTATCCAAACAACCTGCCTGGCATGGTAGTACCTCAAGAGACATAAGTCTCAGCCAGTATAGCTTGAATAGATCATTGCGGTGTTCAAGCCCGACCACCACGTCAAGGTAGCAGCTTTCGGTCGGGAGTGTTGTAATAATAAATGGTTTCCAATATGATATACACCCAATTGGATTTTTCATGTTGACACTGGTTTGATGTGTCTACAGACACTCCCATGAGAAACTGGAACCAATTTATACAACATCTTAGAGATGAATAGCCTGTATAACTCAGTTTTAGTACATATATGCCTTATAAGTACACTTTTTTCTAAAATAAATACCACTTTTCACTTAGGATATAATTGGTATATTTAAGGTCATTTGACTTGGGTGTGTAGTCTTTACTGTTGCCAATAATAGGTATGGTGTATTCATAACATGCATCTAATACGTTGAACTAAGGTGTTGAGATCAGGGTTCTTCACATAAATCAAATGACATAAAAGCATGAAAGTGTTAAGTGAAACGTTACCTCACGAATATCACAAATAACAACGTTGCCGTTGAGATCACCGTAGCATAAAAGATTATTGTTATCTCTACCCATCGTCATGGCACGGGCAACTTCTTTTTCAACGTTGACAGAATATTCACCAAGACGAGAGCCAAGTGTAACATCCCATATACGCACTTTTGCATCTGATCCAAGACTTGCAGCACGTAAGCCATCCATGGAAAATAAAGCCATTGAGACAGAACTGTGATATTACCTACTACAAAAGTCATAATTACCCTTTGTGAGCCTTAATTTTTCTCAAGTGAAATTTGTTCTTATCCGTTGTACACATACGAACGGTACCTCCTTCTTCACCGACTATAATCATCTTCCCATCATTTCGAAAAGCACAACACATCACTCGTGCTGAAAAACCACCCAACTTTCGGAAACGTTTATCTCCATCACATTTGTAAAGATTCACCTGCAATAATCAATTATAAAATATGAATGGACTGACATTGTAACCGTCAGGAAGGCCGTATTTATATGGTGGTGATGAACAAATGGCAACAGAGTTAATGCGGTGAGCAAGTTGTACAGGTTTTCCATTCTAAAACTGTTAAGACTATATTTATCCTACTTTGTATTCGTCCCAAACACCAACTGCCCCTTGTTTCTGTACATACGGGGCCAACACACTATGAGCTACAGGCATCATGATAGCTGCACATGCAGTAGCAATCCACTTGAATTACGCGGGTATTAAGTGTAGATTTCTGAATTCTCATTAGCTTTTGAAGGTTGAAAGACCTATGTTGGCAGTATTATCGGGTGAGGATATAGGTGACTCTAAAGAATAGCGGCCCAAACCGAAACGACCTTCGAACAAAAAAGTGACCTTGAGCAAGGAATCCTCTGATTATCATTTTCGGAAGCAATCATGGATGTCTTCGATTACTGTTTGGATAACGGACTGATAGCTTTGTCGAAAATTTGCCAATGCGGAGGGGTTATGCATATACAAAAATACACAGAGGCCATTGATGGCTTTGTATACAGATGTATTGAGTGCCGAAGGAGGAAATCGGTTCGAGAAGGTTTGTCGTTGTTTTTTAGTTTACAGATGCCTTAGGAACTTTTCTCTCAAGGCCTAAACTACCTTTGAAGAAAATTTTAATGATCTGTAACTTCTGGGTCCTGAAAAGAGCATTCACAGCTACAGCTTATGAAACAGAAAATTCAGAGGTGTCAGCAGTGCAATGGTACAACTACTGCAGAGAAGTTTCCTCCTGGAAAATGAACACTCTGACTCAACTTCTCGGGGGAGTCGGCAGCATAGTCCATATTGATGAGACTGTACTCATAAAAAGGAAATACAACCGCGGGAGATTGCAAGCAAACCAGCAGTGGATACTGGGTATCTACGACACGATACTGAGCAAAGGGTACATAGAAGCGATTCCCAATCGCAGTGCAGCAATATTAGTACCTATTAATAAGCGTTTGGTGTTGCCGGGGACGACTATTCAAACAGATGAATGGAGCGGATACCGTCAATTATCGAATCATGGGTACATTCATCATGTTGCGAATCATACGGACGGTTTCCGGAATACTTTGGATGGAACCCGCACCAGTTCCATTGGAAGTTTTTGGAGTCGTCTAAAAAGACGTATAAGAGCGGTTAATGGATCGAGAAATCCCATGGTTTACAGTTACCTGGATGAATTTATGTACCGAAACTGGCTTCGTATGACTATGAAGACTCCCATGAGAAACTGGGAGGTTTCTTGCAACATATACGCGAACGCCATTCTTTGTAACTGTTTATTATGATTGCATTCCTTTTATATAAACCGTTTTTTACAATTATGCGCCTTTCGTTTTGAGCCTTCTCATTGGCCGAAGTTGTCCCTGACAAGGTCATTTTTGCGTTAAAAGGTCGTTTCGGTTTGGGCCGCTATTCTTTAGAGTCACCAGGATATATGCTATAACCAGGTGTTCCCGCGCAATTTTGTGGGTTATCGCGCTCACGGCTACAGGCGTTTTAATCGCCTACTTTTTGGAAATAGATCGTATTTGACTAGTTTTAGACTTCTGTAGCCAGAAGGCAGTATTTTGCTGCATTTTGTTTGTAGTAAAGCGTAAAATTTTATATCATAGCTCGGACGAATTATTAATAAAAAAGTCATCCTTTTTTAAGAAAGTTCGCATAGAAAGACTATTATTTGCATTATAGCGCTTTGAGGGTTTGTTTTTTTGCGAGTTGTTTCAGATCTTAAAGTTGTAAATATACTGCAGGCAATGGCTGTTGTCATTCCAGTGAATCTATGAGAATCTGGTCTATGAAAGAGAAATAGCATGCAGACATAGGTTAGATGTGTGTTTTGAGGATGTTAAACACTTCAGTTATCATCGGTGATGACTGAAATATTCCATAACACATCGACGACGTCATGCGATGAATGAGACAGGCTTCTGAATTTCCTGGTGATTATATCTATTTTGATGAAGTTCCTAGTTAAAACTGCTTAGGCGAAGATGTGATAATAGTTTAATTTACATTTGCACATGGAATTTCAGAAGGCCTTAATTGCTCAGCGCATAAAATGGCATAAGACTATTTTGACATCAGTGCTCATCGCGTCCCGAAGAAGAGTACAAATAGTGCTTCTCAAATGTCAGAGTACTTAAAATGAGTATCACTGAAATATCACTAATCTAATTCACGATGGTCTTTTTATTTGTGCACTATTACACTACATTATATATCAACTGGATATGCCTTTATTGAAGCTGAGACTTACTCTTTGTGCCTATTAGTTGCTTGCCTACAGTCTCGTTGCTTTTATTAGAAACACAACAGCACCTGTCAGCCACGTCTCGTAAACCGTTAATGCCCAGCTCTTGCTACTCTGGGCCTCACACTGTTCCTCGAAGCTTCTCAGAAACGCTTAGTACGAACGGACGCATAAACCAGAACCCAGTTTGGCGACTCGAGAATTATTTATTCTAACACCAACATATAACCAATGTACAACTAAGCTTTACAACTAAGGTCTATGAACAAATATTACAATAATGAATCACAATATTACTTCTGACAGTTGTCTCCTGACTTCTTTCTGAACAGCGACCGATGAAACGATGACTGGTGTATTGATGCCTCGGCGAAAATTGGGGAAGTTGGTTTTGAGCAAACAACCATGAATTGACCGTTCAATCTTCAACTACATTGACAGCACCAGTGTTTGGACAAATCTGTATTTTCATGGAAAACGTCATATTTACACGCTTACACCGATATTGTTGGCATTATACATAGTAAATGTATACTAACATTCCAAAGACACAGCACTTAGCCAAATGCACAGTGTTCATTGTGAAGGATTTTCAATTTAACTCTTATCATAACCTGTTCTAATTACTCGTACAATAGTTGAACGACTTAAACTTTTGAAAAAGTACCAATTTATGATACTTCACGATTGCAGTATATAACATAACTTATTGCGCCTGTAGAAATGACATGCATTCTTTGTATACATTCGTTTACATGGCACATGAAATTATTATTTGCTTGCTGCTATCCTTTAGAAGATGAACAATATGTGTGACAGTAAAAACCACAGAAGAATGCTGTTATGAACAGAGAGTGAGAAAGGAGAATGAACCATTTTCAGCAAATTTAGGCAAATATAAAGCGTTTAACTTTAATATTACTTCTTTCTTACTTCAGTGATTTAAAAATACACTTTGCTTACTTATTTGCAGGTATGCGGTAACGTCAGTCAACCCGGTCACAGCGATTCGACATTGCCCAAATTATTACGACAAACAACCGCGTAAAGACATTTGCTTGTTGTTATTTTTTATTAAATATATTTAACATCATGCTTACCAGACCTTTCTTATTCTACCTGAGTGTAGCTATATTTGTCATGATGACTAGATGCAGGCATGACTTGTCAATGGGACCTGACAAAGTAATTGGTGGCATATTTTAGTGTAATTTAAATCTGACTACGATTGCTACAGCTCAACCTATCCACTTCACCTTACACTATAAGTTAACACCCATAATCATATGAATCGACACCACGCTTTAAGTGAAATAATGATAATGCACTACTTTTGAATACACTTTACCTTATAAGAAATCGACCCAATTACAGTGCCTAAGTTCATTTCTTATTTTTCAAATACTGACGTATTTTTGTCATTGGTCCCTACAGACTTAAACATGTCTAGGAGACGTAATCGCGTAACTTTAGGCAGATGTTTAGGCTTGACTAAAGTACTTATAATTCACTGCTTATATCAATCGATAGTGTTGCTACAGAATTACACCTATATACAGTAACGAGTTCATATCCTAGGGAGTACCGGTCTAGCATGCCGTACTCCCACCGCATGCAGAACAAATACAACACAAGAATATTAGATAGAAAATTTTGTTTCACTGCAACGCAAACAAGTTTATTTACATGTATTTTCTGAGCACAGTCAAAGATGAAAGTCTTCGTTTGGAAAGTATCTCCCATTATTCGACGGAAACTGCCCAGTGTCCGAATTGCGTCACGTTTGAATTCTTCCAAAATTCAAGTAAACAGAACTCTATGCCGACATGCAAATCTATCCGGCATCACAAACTGTAAAAAAAGAATATCTGCATGGTTATACATGAATGAGTGAACTTACCTCTACTTGTTGTTGTATTCAGAATCAATTTCTAAAAATGATTATGCAAATGCATCCGATTATAAGTCGTCATCACTGTTTTTCGAATGCCTTTGTCCGAATGTGGCTTCATCTGCTTTCACCGAATTTAATTAACTGACAGACCTCATTGCGACCCATCCTTCCTAAAAGTGATACAGACCAAATTCACTTACATAAATTAAGCATTTACATAATTAACATGCATGACCATATTTGAGTTAAGTATAAGTTAAGTTCAGTCTTCCTAATTTACACTATTTTTGAAATGTGGAGCACGTTAATGGTGCAGAAAATATCATGAACATTACGCATACATAATATTATTAACTGCCAGTAATTGTGCCATCGAATCATACTACAAGAATATACTTGATAATACTTTGTTAGTGGTCTGAGGGACAAAAATACTATAGCGAAACATACAGGCTATATGAAAGTCCCACAAAGCTGTCTCACTAAAATACAATGTCTCACTCTCCGCATGTGAACGTATCCACATACTGGTATGCGGAAAATTTCGTCACTGTTAGCAATATGTAAGGTTCACGCCTTTTGAAAGTCTTCTAATGCGTTTGTAGCTTCTTACATACGTGGTGCTTGTGCTTGCACTGATTACCTGCGATGAAATTCTAGAAAAAGGGCTCGTTAACGAAGCACATTATTGCCATAGCTTGTCACAGTTAAGTCGCAAGAAACACAGGATACCAGACTATGTGAGTGAGAAATCACGAAGTAGGAAATACTTTACGTATAACCACAACTGAAGAAATGCATTGGCACGCACGGGATGGTAGTCACTGATAGCAACCATAATGCCTGACCAGTTTCGAGGGAGTTTATAACGAAAAGAGAAGTGTATCTGTGTAAAAGACAGTGAAACAATGTTAAAATAGTCAAATATTACATCTATGTTTGTCACAGTTGCTTGCAAATGACGCACAACACAACCGCACAAAACCTCACACGATACGACCTACCAAGGACAAATCAAATATCCAATTGCCCGCCACTGTTCTAGCAAATGAAAGACGAAAAAACCTGAGTCGCGGAAAATATAACACGTCATAACGTATATCCTCACCCTTCAATTTCAGTCCGTTAGATACAGTCCGTTTAGGGTGGTTCTACCATAGCTCATAACCTTTCATTTCCTCTTCACATGACCTCCCACTTGCCGCTCT